TTGATCATTGGGACTTGAATAATACATGAAACACTTAACCAAGATGGACTACTAGTATGCTATTATCACTCGTTCGGTTAAAATACATTAATTTTTTCATAGTTGTGAATAAATTATTAACTACAAATGTGATACTCGCTACACTTTACGTTTAAAAGCGGTAGCATTTGAAATAATATCAAATTATAATCTTATGATATTTTATTACAATTACATATTCATTTTATTTTATATTATGAGAGCTTTATCGCATTTATCAATGAAAATAATACGTAACGCATAGCATAACAGTCAATAGTAGAATGATGTGCTGCTCCAAAATAATATTAGGCGGCCGCACATTGGGACCAAAGGCTGANTAATATTAGGCGGCCGCACATTGGGACCAAAGGCTGATTTAGCCGGCCAAAAATACCATTTTTAAATCAACTAATAAAATTTTTTATTTTAGCAAATTTTTTTTATTATATCCTTATAAGGTCATGTACAAAAATTCAAGGCCAAAAATTGATACAGTAATGGTTGAGTGCTATTTAAATATCACAACACTGTATTTTTTTGTTTTTTTTTCTAGGATTTTTATTATTTCTTCAATCATTTTTTCCTGCTTAATTAAAAACCTTAATTTTTTTTTTTTTATTTAAAATGTTTAAAAAGTCATCGGCTTTCAAATTTACTAAGAAAAAATTTTTATTTCTTTTTTTTTTAATTTTAATAATTTTTTACACACAAAAAAATGCAAATACTTATTTTACATTGTTTTTTAAAGAGTTTAACTCGAATTTACGCAATATTACGATTACACCAATACAAGCATGTTGTAGAAGAACTCTTAAGCTACAATAAAAAAAAAAAATTTTTGCGTCAGATTGAATTTGAGCCGTGCAAATAGAATTTCCCTATAATAAACGTGTAAAAATTGTAATTTTAATCATTTCATTGGTTTTATCAGTTCGATCAACTTTATCAGCTTAAAAGTTGTAAAAATTAGATGTAATTAAAATGTCCCTTTTAATTATACAGACTTATGAGAGCAATGTTGCCAGTTTGCTTATGTACTTATTTCTAAAACGCGTAACAGGAAATACACAACTAAGAGGCTATTGAGTAATGTTTTCATTGTACTATACATTTATAGTAGTTTGTTCAATCGATTATTTGAATTTGTCGCTCTTTTTTCTTGATTTGATTGACTTCAGTATTCATTCTCTCAAATAGTTGTCCATCTAATAAACACTAATAAATGAATTTATCACCAATTTGTTGTGCAATTTCCAATTTAATGATTTAGTGTATTAGTGATCAGGTTTGACTATTTTTATCATTGAACATTATTTCACAATTGCACTCTATCAACTATCAGCTATAAAAACTTGCTAAGTTTTGATGTGCTCGTTGCTATCAACCAATTATATTCTTAATTAGATTATTTTATAAGCTAGTTTAATAAATATTTTGCCATTAAAAAAAATAAAATTAAGAAATGGATAATGGTGAACCCAAAGAGTATTTTACCACTACTCAAAAAAAAAACATTTTCAAGATTATAATTATTTTAGGATAAATTAATTGGACAATGATAAATAGATTACTGATAATAATACAATACCCTAAAGCTAAATAAACATATTTTACACAATTTTTATTCAAAAGTTTTAAAAATTTAATAAGTTTCAAAATTTGTAAAAAATAATTAATAATTTTTAATTTAAAAGAATAAAAATAATTTATTGGAGTGCATGACCGATTTTAAGCAACTTCAGCAAATTAAAGGTGTATACACGTGGTGTAGATAATTTATGGGAAGAGGTGGGATAAAAACATAAACCCCTTCCCAATATTTAAATTTAATTTGATTCCATATAAACGTATTTTATAATGGATGATTGCACCCCCACCACCTTTAATTTTTTTTATGTAACAATTAACAAAACCCAGCACAGGGGGTGACGTGGCATAGTTGGATCAAGTATAATAATATCTGACAGCGATTAAAATCACTATAAAAAAAAAACACTTCGATGCAATGCTGTAGACAGTGTTTAATTTTAAAAAATTGGTGTATTATTCCAAAAGCTACATGATCTGCTAGTTCCTTATTAATATCCTGATTAAGATAAAGTATGTCGAATGAAAAAGGGATTATAAAAAAATATTATTATTCATAAATAAATTGTGTTGATCCATACACTTTTAAATAAGTTATAGTATTATAAAGTTAAAAATGTAAAAAATAAAATCAAAAATTTTCACATAAAAATAGCATTTGGTAGCCATGAAGACCAGAGGTCAAATTTTTTTTTCCATAATAAAGTACATTACATACATACAATTCTTTAATATAATATACATAAAAAAGTGTCAGACCTTCCGGAACACTTTAAAAAGTTAAGTTGAAAAAGTAAATTTTTTGTGAAAAAGTTTTCATTTTAAATACCCCCCTAGGGGCAGGTTAAGTGTCAGATTTACAAAAATTATATGCTAAATGATAGGTAAAGACATCTAGCATCTATAAAAAAAAAAAAATTTAGTGATCCATACATTTTCCGAAAAGTTATAAATAGCATTATTAAGTTAAAAATATAAAAAAAAATTATTTTACAAAAATCGTAATTTTTTATTAACTTTGCTGTCTATTTTCACCACAAAGACAAGTCCAGAGGTCAAATTTTTTTTTTTCAAATTAAAGTACATTACATACATAGAAATCTTAATATAAGATACATAAAAAAGTGTCAGACCTTCCGGAACACTTTCAAAAGTTAAGTTGAAAAAGTTCTACTTTCTACATGCATTTTTTAGATTTAAATCCCCCCCGTATATAGAGAAATGGTCTGATTGAAAAAAAAGAATGTCGAATGAAAGATGTATATAAACTACTCCTCATGAAAAAATTGTATTGATCCATACATTTTTTAAAAAGTATAGCATTTTAAAGTAAAAAATGTAAATTATAAAATCGAGAATTTTCACACAAAAATAGCATTCGGTAGCCATTATCACCATAAAGACAAGTCTAGAAGTCAAATTTTTGTTTTTCAAATTAAAGTTTATTACATTAGCTTTAATTTAAGATATATATAAAAGTGTTAGACCTTCCGGAACATTTTCAAAAGTTAATTTTTTGTGAAAAAGTTGTCATTTTAAATCCTCCCCTGTGGGTAGATAAAGGGTCAAATTTACAAATAAATATACCAAATGATAGGTAAAGACATCAAGCGTCTATAAAAAAAATGATATTTATATGTTTATTTTTGAAAAAGTTACGGCAGTTTTTAGTAAAAAAAATTGAAAAAATTTCGAAAATTAGCGATTTTTAAATTTGTAATTTTTTTGGAGGTTTCCTCCATTTACGGGGAACGAGGGAATTTTTTTCAAATTTTGAGGGTAATGTCTTCGACTAGATTCGATTTGTGATCTTTTGACGTATCATTGAAAGACATCGGTTTGGTCAGAGCTGAGAAAAAGTGGTAACAGACACAAAAAAAAAAAACACATCATAGTAAAACCAATACCTTCTCAGCTTCGCATCGAAGCTAATAAAATAATGATGTGCACATAAGCTGATTTAATTTTTCAACTTTTAAGCTATTAAGAAAAAATAATTTATACCTAAATACTAATAACAAATAAGTTATAAATAATTTTGAAAATAAATATAAATTATAAACAATGTAAAATTTATTTAATTTAAAATTAAAAACAATTCCTACCTTTTTTTAGTCATATTTTCATTACTATTATTTAGAGCACGCAAATAACAAATTAACAAAAACAAATAAATTACCTATTATAACTACTAAATTATAAAAAATGAAACAAATTAAAGATAAGATTTATCAAAAAATTTTTCATAGAGTATTACTCTATCGAATTTTGTAATCAACTAGATTCTAATCAATGCATATTTCAATAAGTATCAATGATACTCGGTAGTTTGTTATCATTTGTTGGACCAGAGTTAAAAAAAATTTATCTACAACCACTTTTGGAGTAACTGCTATTCCATTTATTATAACGTCCAGAACGTTATCTTTTTCAAATAACGTTTTCTATGAATACAAAAATGAAAATACAGCTATAATAATAACTGTATTACTCAATAGTAATCACAAATTAATAATAATTTTAAAATTGAATTTTAAATTTGGGGGGGCCGGCCCTGGGCCACATTAAATCTAAGGGGGGCCAGGCCCACCCATGTCTACATGCCTGCCTGGACACCGTAGAAATTATTCGCGTAAGCTATCGCAGTTTTGCGGTGAGCTTTTAAAGTCGCAACGTCTTTATTGAAAACGCTTACAGTCGATAATGAATTACGATTTAATATTAGTTCTTATTGAACCAATATTTTTGTATAATACATCAAAATATTTATTTTTTGAATTGTTTATATTGCGAGTAATCAAGTGGTTTATGATAAACTGATCACCATGTTTACAGAGTGATCAATTAAGGTTAAAACACTCATTTTTTTCGCTAACTATGGAAAATTTTTAATTTTTGGTAAGGAAAATATTGTTTGATTCAAAAAACTCTACTATAAAATGTAGTAAAAACATGATATTTTTCTTCCTTTCAAATTTAAAAAACATTAACTAGATGGGAACCCCTATTTAAAATTTGATATTATGTAAAATTAAAACTATATTAAAAATATTATTAATTTAAAAAAACTAAAAAATATTAAAAATATTAAACTCAAAAGCCACAAAAAAATTAATGAAAAGTCGCGGATACGTATTTCGGAAACAATGTTACCATTATCAACGCTAAACACATACTGACACCCCGACTAGAAAAAACTCCCTTATATACCCCTAGTGACCTTATCACCTAGTGACGTTATCACTAAGTAATATTATCACATTTTGCCAGTTTACACAAGTTTAAT